GTTGTCATGATTCCCAGCATCAGACAGTGGACTTGGTACATTCTCAAACGTTTCGCCGGCATCACAGTCGACATCATCAGTCAGTTTTGCCATTCTCCGCACCAAGCTACGGACTCGAAAAAAGAGACAAGTGAAGCCAATCCCTCGACAAACGTTCCGCCAAAAATGGCGCCTGGAGTGAAATGTACACAGGGACTGGAACCGAGTGAAATTTGTGAACCAGAAAGATGAGGAACGGATCCACGAGACAATGAAGGTATCCCGATTGGAGGCCCGAGTCGGATAAGCCGATAGAAAGAGAGAGGTCAGGATAGATAGCAAGTGTGATGGGGCCACAAAAGGGCACACATTTTGATGATCGGAATGTAAACAAGTAAGAAGTTGTGATAGAGCGGCAATGGGATTAGAGGGTAAAGAGTAGATAGATAGACCAGGACAGAAAGAGGAGTGATAGTGCAACCGTTTTCGGTAGAACGCTTGTGGAGAGATTGACTTGACTTGTCTCTTTGACGAGTTCGTTGCTTGGATCGGAGAATGACAAAACTGACTGATGATGCCGACTATGATGCCGGCGAAACGTTTGAGAATGTACCAAGTCCACTGTCTGATACTGGGAGTCATGACAACTACTATGGCAGACGACTTCGGACTAGGTGCATTCTACTAAGTCGCCCTGACAACAACGGGGTCAACCCATTTCTATAAAACCGGCCAGATGAATACTTTAGCTTGCAGCAACCTGAACGAATAAATGGGCCAGCTTTCTCTTTCAAAATAGTCTGATCTCACTTTCGCAACTTGGTCGTGTTGTCACGGCGACCTAGTTGGGCTCAGCTTGTCTGAAGTAGTCTACTCTAGTAGTGATAATAGTTTTCAGTGTTGGAGCGAAAACTTGGTACATTCCTAGACGTTTTTCTAGCATCGTAAATGAGTCTTGTCTTTCTCGAAACCATGCTACAATTCGTCAAAGTGACAAGTCAAGTCATTTTTCGCTTCCAGGAAGAAGATCCAAAAGGAGGCTTGAGTCGGATCCTCCCACACGCAATGAACGTCTACTCAGCAACTTCGAAACCCAGTTTACTTGCTTCCACTACCGCTTACTGAATGCGGAGTCCATTGTAGACGCTGGAGAGACCTTCGTAGGCCTCGATGACGAGTCGTTGAGTATCCGGCCGGCGGATGATGAAGCGAGCGTCCGAGTCGATGGCGACTCCGCCGGGGAACTGGGCGATCGGCGCGACGCCTGGTTGCAAAGAGATGCATTCCACCTTGAATGGTTGGAAGACCGACTTCAGAATGAAATCTGGCCGCACTTCAATGTTGTCTATTCAGCAGAGAAATTGGGACAAAATAAAATATTATTAAGCAAGCAATCAAAGTTATTGGGCTGTAAAAGAGCCTAAAGAGGAGCCAAACCAAGCATCCTCAAGTATTTGCCAGTACTCATTTTGTCTCGACTTCATGCAACCTGATTGCCATCAAGAAATATTATCAATCTCTAAAGCGCCAACCTCAGGTTTTAAATCTCATCGAAGTTGCCGAAGCAACCGACCGATTTTGGGCAGAATATCGACGTGACGATTTTATCATCGCCAAGAGGACTTCCTTTCTTGAACATCGTATCGAAATGGTGGCTGCTACCGTCGTCACAGTCTCCTTTTTCTCACCCTAGCCATGTTGTCAGGGCGGCCTAGATGAAAGGAGTCTTGTACAAAGTCCTCTGTCATAGTAGTCATGACAATCTCCAGCATTTCCAGATAGTTCGCCGGCATCGACAGCGAGTCTTGTTATTCTATGCTGACTACGATTTCGACGAAAACTCTGGGAATGCACTGACACTTGTCACAACTAATACGTTTTCCTTTATCTTGGTCGCCCTGACAACACGACCAAGTTACGAATGCAAGGTTAAAAAACCTACATCCAACGAAGGAAGACTCAAACAACTATAGAAGCCACATTATTTTGCTCGGCATTTCTGAGTTTAAGACTGAGTAAAGCCTATTTGTGTATTGTGAAAGAAACCCTATTAATTCTTTTTTACTAAGCTCTAACGACCCAGCACTTATTCAGGAGTTACCGATAGTTTCAAAACACGCTCCTACCGCAAAATATGGTATACCTTTGATTTCCTGTGAATAAGCCTTACCGCAAACTGAAGGGGAATCGGAATGCTTTTGAGTGGACGTGAAAAAAGTCGTCAGAGCATGAAATCATCATTTGCTAAAGAGATAGCAAATCTCTGAACCAAGAAAGGAGGCCGGATGCAATTGTATGCGCAAGGTTGTACTAAATGATGTAACTATTTTGTATGGGTTTAGGGAAACAAATCTGATCACATTGACATCCTGTTCAGGCATCAACCTCGCTCTTAGACCTTAGTGAAAAACATGAAAGTATGAAGAAATCGGGATTTCGAATTATTTCATTTTTTTAAATTATTGTCACATTTTTGACATTTGCATTTTGAAGGAAAACATGGCTGACAGGAAGTTGTGAAATGGCCTCACCGGAAAGTAAAGAAGGATTTCTACGCAGTAAAAACTGTTGGATTTTGCGGTTTGGGTGCGGCTCTTTCACGAATTCCTTGCGGCCAACTTTTCCTTTGAAATGGAAATTCATATCACAATTAGCATAAAATTGTAGTATGCATGATCAAGTTGACAAATTAGGTGCAATTAATAAGTTGGATTGAAGCTAACCACCTCTCTTGGTGCCAAATCCATGCTCCCAAGATAGAAATTGTCATGACTTTGGACAAAGTGCCTTAATCTACATCGCCCTGGTAGTCAATCCAAGTTGTTAAGACTCGGTCCAACCCGTTCGCTTGGACTCGTATCCAGTTTCGAATTCCGCTCGCGGTGCCGATGAAGGATTGAGGCGATGTCGAACCTGTTGTCTACTCCGCTCCACTCGAGTCAAGTCGGGATGGGAAAGCCTTCTATGAGGCCTGCTGAAGCCCATTCATTTCACCATCCATCCGTCCTTAAATCGCCTTAAACGACCCAGAATGGTCCAAGTTTTTAATGAAAGTTACAACAGAGCATAGATTCTTCAACCGCCAGACTATGCACCTATTCGAACCGAATTTTGCATTTCATTTTACAAAGTTGTATGCATCGAGTGGTTCTGCAGAAAACGATGAATGTGCAAAGTCTATAAAGTTGGTCGTTTGCCCAGACACAAGCCGAAACGTCCAACGAACCTGTCGGCCAACGGGGTCATTTGGTATACCTGGCAACTCCTGGCTTCCGGAGGGCGGAGGTACCGGCAACTCATCGCCCCACTCGACGCCGTCGATGAGTGCGATGCACCGATACACACCCACATGATCGGGACCGATGTTGTGGATGACGAACTCAGAGTCACGTGAGACGACCTGATCATTTCGACGCCACTCGTACTGGATGCGGGCTGGAGTTGGGGTGACCACGCAGCGAAGGCGAATGTCGTCGCCGAGAATAAACGGTTGGGGTGAATAAAACGTGCTAATCGTGAACTCTGGCTCGGCGGTCTCGTTTGCCGTTGGTACAAGGTTAACTATCTGCAGGAAGGTGAGAGTGTTGGATATTAAATAATTAGTCGGGCTGGTGCACATGGAAAAGATAAAGGCATGGATACCAAAACGTAAATAATTAAGAGAATAAAAAAACATGCATCACCGGGACCATGTTCTGGTAGATTTCATTTTTATCGAAAAAGTTGGATATACATCATTCATAACTTGGCCTCACCGCAAGCCGCATCCTCCCCCTAATCCTCCAAGAACTCTCTGGTGAGCTCTCGTCCTACCCTCCACGTTACATGACACCGGCCCCCCTGTTGACTACTAGAATTGTTGCCAAATGTCACCCAATCCAGCCGATTAAGAAGCTGGGAAAAACAGGTGATATGAAGAAAGGAGTGTGAAGTTGGAACGGGACAAGAGATAGACTTTAGTGTGCACGGTTACAAGATTGGTTGACCGTTCTCACCAGAAGACGACGACTGATTTCGGGTGTCATTCACTTGTTTAACTTTAAGCTGACACCGTTCAAGTGACCTCCTGCCTCGTCTCCAGTGGAAGCAAGCTTAGTTTTTGTCCATCATTCCATTTGACGAAGTCCATCAGGCCGGAACCGATTCTTTCAAATCTACTTTTGCAAAAGTGAGTTCTAGCTCTGATTATGTCCGTCAAATAGCATTACAGACAAAGGTTAAGTCTGTTTTCACCCGAAACGAGGCAGGATTTCTCGTGAACTGCGTCAACCTGAACATGGTAGCGAAGTCAAACGTCTGCAAACAACGGGACTCGGTCATTGTCTCTTGGCGAAATCGACTCATGAACCTCTTCATCAAATACACTTAAATACGAAATTAAAGTCTCTACAATAATATTATCCCAATATTACCCTACACAAATACGACTATAAGTAACGTTGTCGATTGCTATAGCAAACATACTTTTGCT